CAATTTAAAGTAACAAATGATAATAATTAACACAAATTAATAGAATTATGAAGATACCATCATAGAAAATTATAAACACTTTCATAACTCATATAAGATTAGACAAACTACAGAGCTAATGAACACTTGCACAACTTCTAAAAGAATAAACAAAGAGCATGGCTTATATCACTTTGTCTAAACAAAGGTCGGAGCTTATATCACTTTGGTTTATGATTGCCACATATATAAGAATCTGTTCAAAAAAAAATGATTGCCACATATACAAGGTCTTAAATGGGAAATTTATAAGTAACAAACTGATAATAATTAACAAAATGATAAAATTAAGAAGTTACCATTACAGAAAATTATGAACACTTGCACATCTCATACAAGATTAGACACATTTCAGAGCTTATATAACCTATAATGACACATTCTATACGCTTAGAAGACAAGCTTATAAATAACAAACTGCTAAAAATTAACACAAAAATTTGGATTTAAGAAGCTATAATCTTACAAATTAAAGCTTATCGTTGCAAGGTGCCTACACGCCTCCCAACTGAATGATTAGCTCACACTGTAAATGCAGTGTAATTGCAAAAGCCAGTATCTACATATGCTCACGGGACTTGATCTTAACGGTCACGAGAATGGTGGCGTTTAAGATATAAACGATCAGTCTAGGATTGTTACTATTTTGTGTATAAGATATAAACGATCAGTCTAGGATTGTTACTATTTTAAGAGGACGAAACTATATATTATATTCCTTGAAACAACTTAATCACAAAACAAACACAACTATTTACATTTTTCATTCACAAACATGAACTTTACTTTATGTTTAAGTATTTACTAAATTAACTTTATAAAGTCTATCAAATTTTTACTCTACTTTTATTTGTTTCGATTAATAACAACCACTTATGCTACTACACTAATAATCAGAAAATATCATTGTCACATAGTTACAACATCAATTTCTGAACATAATCTCTTCACTAAAACCACAAAATAAATCGCAACTTTTTTTATAATAACATATATGAATCCGGCGCGTAGCGCCGGCACACCACTAGTAATAATATATGAGTTGGTTGAAACAGGCGAGGCTTTGTGCATTACTATTTCATTTTAGTACTCTTTCCTTTTTCAATATAATATATTAGTTTTTTTTAACAATATAATATGTTAGTTAAAAACACATATTAAAAGTTACTTTTCTATCTAAAAACTATCACTAAAACTCTAAATTAAGAAGTATTCTATCAATTGCAAAATAAACTGTATAATAGGATTGGTTACACAGTTTTTGATAAAGTTAACATTTTATTAAATATGAAAATATTTTATATATTGGAACATCAATATTCTTTAAAACATTCTACATTTCGGAACGGATGAAGTATTTGTTTTATATAATCTTCATTTTTAATGTGTTAATAAAAAAAAGACTAGATTTTGACCCACGCAACTGCGTGGATTTCGTTTTCATATATATATATATATATATATATATATATATATATATATTATAAATTAGTAACGTTTATCATATATTTCAATGTTTATATAACTATTACAAACTGTTACAAAAAAAAATATATATATATATAACTATTACAAACACAATAGTTTTATAGCCTGTATGTTAATATGAATTGTTTCAATAGTTCTTATTATATATTTATCTTATTGGAATTACATTTAGTTATTAATACTAAAATATGCATGAAAAACCATATTTTTAAAATTATTTTATATTTAATTTATACTAAATTTTGATCTGAGTTTCAAAGTTAGATTATCGTTTAGCAAATTTTTTATGTTTATTTAGATAATACGTTGTTATAAAAGTTAAGATATGTTAATTTTATACATGTATTATATAGTTAATAATGTTAATCTGTTCTTCAACATATTGTATATTTTCAACATTATTATTCTATTTTATGAAAATAAAATGATTAATTTATCAATTTGATATAACTTTATAACATTTACTTTGATATAATAGTTTTTATTTAATATGATATATTATGATTATAAAAAAAGTAAAAAGAATATTTTTCATTTTATAAGATAGAATTGAATATATATATATATATTAATATATAACTATATTTTATTACTAATTCAAAATTAATAAAATACTTATATAATTTTTTAAAGTTAAGATCTTGCTAAAATCTTTTTAACAGATTTGTTAAATAGAATTAATATATATTTATATTTAAAATAAATAGATATCAAAAGATATTATGATTAAAAAAGTTACAAAAAAATAAAATATACTTAATAAGATTTCTTAGTAATGGTCCAAATAAAAAAAATACACATGAGATAAATCATGACTTTTTTTTTAATATAATAGATAATAAAAAGTGAAACAAAAGAAAACTGATTGATCCAACCAATAGATTTCATGATTACTTCTTGTTATATATGGGTTAATGGGTTGTTCCCAGAAAGTTGATTTGTTTCCATAAATATTCAAATATTATTTTACATCCGTAAACTGAAGCGGACGATTTATCAGGTTATTGGGTCGATCGCGGATAAACCGCGGATAAATAAATGAAACTTAATTATATAATAATATACTAGCTTTGAAAATAAAATATAGAAACTAAAGTTAAATATTTTCTGAATGTTTTAAAATATAAAATGTATAAATATACAAAATTTTAAAAAACTAGATTAGACTATCTAATTTTTTTTATAACAAGTTTAGAGTAATGACATGTAAAAAAAATTAAGATATAAAATTCATAAATATTTAAATGTCTAATGGGAATAATAAATAAAACTTCGAATCCAAAATAAACCAAAAGTAAAACATCATTGTAATAAATTATCAATAACAAAAATAAACTAACACCAAATTACATCAACTAATTTTAGTTTTCGTTACCACTCTTCATTTAATTTTCTTCAAGTGGCATAGTGAAATCTTCATCTTAAAATCTAAAAATCACAAATAAAATAATGTAATAGGTATTATGTATGATAAAATGTCGGAAAGTTTAATCTAAATTTAAAAAAGAAGACGGGAGTGCCAATAACTAAAACGTGAAAACCCAACTTTTAAATTAGAAATTTAAAATATAAAACAGAATAAAAACATAATTTAAAACTAAAAAAAAAATAAAAGTATATTTATTAGTTCAATCCGTGGTTCAACCGGCATCGGATTTTGGGTTTTAGTGGATTTTCCGGGTTTTTGCGGATTCTTAAATTTTGTTTTTTAACAAAACCTGAATCGAATTTATTTTGGGTCATCGGATTTACCAGTTTAATTGCGGGTCTGAATCGGGTATCAAAACACTGCCATTAACAGAATTGACGTTCTATGTGAACACACTTTTGAGTGAATTTTATAAAGCATACGACGATGTGGAATTCATCAAACTAGAAGATCCATTGAGTACTATATAGTGTCTTTGGACTTGTACAACATGCATCATATTTGAGAATCAATTGCAAAATCAAATTTTCAGTGTCATACAAAAACGATTTGACGAAAGCTCTGTGGTTCATTTCGAAAAACTGTTTTGAAGTGTATACGATTGCATTAAACAATTTTCATATACAGTACGTCACGTAGTTAGTCTTAAGTAAAAAATCCAGTCGATTCTGTAGATATAATTATTAGCATCTGAGGACTAACATCTTCGCTCATGCATCTGCATACGCTGTGAAAGCCAAAAGAGAGCTATCGCAGAGATAAATTAAAAAATATGTAGAATATATGGTTGACTCATTTCCCAGGCCATTTGGATTCCTTCATTTGTGATGGTTAGTGACTCTAGCAAAATACTCATCTATGCTCTCAGACTCTCTTATTTACAACACTTTGAAATCTGTTCTCAGCTTTTGTAAGAATGATTTTTTTCGTACGAGCATTGCCTTTAAATTATATTTTTATCGACTCCCAAATAATTTAGAGGTAACATATCTATGGCTTGATAAAGATAGTTTGTGACCTTGTGGTTTTTAGAATTCTCGAGCTAAGTTTAGCGCTTTGGTTAGTACGGTGGTGTTGATTAATGCTCCTCAAAATCAATCTCGATCATGCTTGATAATACCTTTTGCGCGGAAGAATTTTCCATGAATTTGCTTTAAGTTGCTTCCATGAAGTTTGAATCTGTTCTGACAATGTTATTAGTTATCGTATCTTATTTCATCAAAAGAGTACTGGCTATATAGACTTTCGGTAACTTGAACAATACTAGAATGCATAAGACTCGGAAACTGACTCCACTAGTTTAAGGCCTAAGCAACAAACTTCTAACTGTTTATTCTCGTACTTGAATTTGCTGCAACATGAATATTACACCAAACGTGACGCAGTTGACTTTCTCGTTATCTATCGTAATCATATATATTTCCTTGATTATTATTCGATATTGTTCCGTGGCAGAACTGGTCGAGCAAGAACCAAATATTCTCATCATCGGTCGACATGGTGTCTCTACCAACAGAGTCCCAATCATTGCACTCCCCGAAACCCGTTTGAACCTCAGGATCATAACCCAACCCGTTCACTACCGTACCTTGAACGTCAGATAACGTCTCAGCTGGCGTATTCGAAGACGTTGGGGCCAATTCTGGTGCCGGTACGAACTGCTTATGATAATGAATCGGGTTAAACTGATCGTAGCCAGGTTTGACCGGATTCTTTGTGTCAATAGATTGACCTGGGTCGGTGATCATTGAATCCACTGGCTCACATGTGGCTGGTGTTGATTGGGCGTTTATTCTTTCCATTAATCTAGGCATCCAAACATTTCTCATTGTCTCCTTGAAACGATCGCTATTAACATCACATCTAAGGTGTTTAGCTTGTTTTTGCACCCTAGTTCTACAATAATTTTTTATTTCATTATCTGTTCTTCCCGGTAAATATTGTGCAATCTTGGACCACCTTATATTTTCCACGGAAACAAAAGTTTAATATTTTATAAAACGTAATTTTAAAGTAGAAACTGTAAATGGATATGAAAATATTTGCATTTGGATATCTTTTGATAACAAACCTGTTACCCCAGAGAGAATGGAGTTTGAGGATCGTAAATTGTTCTTCGAGGGTGATGTTGCCTCTTTTTACATCTGGACTCAAGTAGTTAACCCATCTTAATCTGCAACTCTTTCCAGTTCTCTTAAGCCCTGCATATAATTTGAAGATATAATATAAGTATGTTTGTGTATATAGATAGGCTTATATATTTTGTTTTTTTNGGGTGGGGTGGGGTGGAGCCGTGGAGGTATGAATGTGAAGAAATATAGGCCTATATATCTCTGCAGCAGTATGTAAATTAGAGAGTGGTGATTAATTTGATACCTGAGGAACAAGCTATGTGGTTCCAGCGAGCATTACCATGGATAGAGATGAAGTTGCTGAGAATAGCATCTTCGTCCTCCGTCCATGGACCTTTCCGTACATCAAAATCTTCTCCATGAGCGGGAGAGTTTGAATTTCCCTCGTACTCTTCCATTGATTTTTCTTTTTGTGAGAAAAGGAGAGGAGAGAGATGGTGTGGAAGGTTTTGTCGAATATATTTTAAGTGATTAAGCATTATGTAATATATATATATATATATGCTTAAGAACCACGAGAATAAAAGAATTTATAAAGGTGTCATTTTTTTAAGGATATTTCAAAGTAAGTAGAGGAATGAAGAGTGACTAGAACACGCTATAAGTGTGATTTTAAAACTATTATTTTAATTGTTGTTTCTAAAGTAATTTTGTAACTATTTTAAACTTTATACTACTCTAAAATAATGAACTCTCCGTTTGGTCAACTGTTTGTGTAATTGAAATTACTAAGGTTTGACCCTTCCACCTGTTCAGATGTATAGTAACACGCACTTTCGCTTTTTCTTTGTTTAGAGCATCATTTTGTCATAGAGTTTCTAGATTTTACCACAGTAGCGCAGAAGTTGTATATTGTAATCCAGTTAAAAATGTTGTATACTTGTTATCCACTTAAAAACGATCTGGTTACTATGGGCTACATTAATTATCTATCATATACTGTACTGTAATCACTATTTCGTTTTCTAATTTATTGTTTGAGTGTCGAATCTCTAACCTAGACCTGGATCACTGTATAAAGGAATCTCTAACTCCCCGGATCACTGATATATATGTATATTCTACAGTATATATATGATTGAATTGTGTGGCATTTATGGATTAAGTTTTAGATCTCCAATATCTTCTCTGAATATTTGGTATTTCTTTGATTTTCCATATCTGTTGACATTTTCAACATATTCTGTAGTTTCTTTATTGTTGATATTAAGACAGGGTACTTATTTACGACATTCTAGAAGCATTTGGTGTAGAACCGATGACCAGTAAAAGGTAGAAGTATATATTGTTTTTAACTGGAATATGGTGGATGTGAACTCACCAAGCTAGTGCATCGTGCATGTAAAATCAATGCATGGAAAGCAGCAATATCGTAAAATTCTCTCTCGAAGAGTTTAGTGTGTTTATTTATGTACTGGATACAAATATAAGGTATTTTTATAGTTATTACTATGTTAACAATCATATGTATGTATTCTAAGAAAATGAGAAATTGAAAATAATGTAGAGTATTTTCCATGTTTCCACTTTACACAGCAGAAAGAACAACTCTAACAACTGTTTCTTGTCCAAAATGTAAATTCACAAGTTTTCTATATACAGAAGTATGTCTTGAAATTAGCTAACATTACTAAACTGTGCTTAAAACTAGACTATTGACATCTAAAGAAGTCAAATGAGAAAAGCAGTAAGGTAAATTTACTTAAAACTAGCTTAGAGCATCTCCAATTTGAAACAAAAATAGAGCATCTCCAAAAGATTCTCTATTTTTATGTTTATAAAACTCTATTTTTATTTAAAATATAGAGTTTTTTATTTTATACTATGGTTCTCGATTTTAAACTCATAAATATTTTAGAATTAATTTTATAAATTTAAATTCTCCAAAAGTAAATTTCATACTTAATTTCAAAATTATTTGTATTTTATACTATGGTCCTTATGTTTGTCATAAATAATTTAAATTCATGAAACTTTTATAAATAACTAACATATATATATATATATATATATATATATATATATTACAGAAATATTAGTTAATAAAATATTACACTAAAATATAAAAAAAAATAGATAATTAAATATTAAACTACAAACCATTTACACATCAAATCTTGTAATATTGTTATTGTCTGGTTTTAGTGTTAAAATATTTTAAATCTTATTATAATGTTTTTGAAAATGGTGTGTGTAAAATTTAAATTTATAAAACAGTTTTAAGATAAAAAATTTTAAGGACTAAACGGTAAATAACAAAATATTTAGGAGTCATAAATATGCTGTATAATTATAAAAACAAAAACAAAAACGTAACTAAAAATATGAAACTTTAAATTTGAAATTTTGAATAGTGATACTATATTTAAAGTTTCACTCTACATAATTTTGGAGAGTAAAAAAATTCATATTTAAAATTATATAATATCTTTTGGAAATGTTCTTATGACAACGACAAAATTTCTTTTGGTGATTACAATACATTAAATGATAGATAATCCTGTTAAAAATTAATCTCACCTGGTGAGGCTTCTATGAGTTATTTTCAACAATAATTTATCGCATGTTAAAGTTAATAGTGAAAACAATGTAAAAGTTATTAATAAAAATTCTTTCAAAAGAAAAAAATATAATTTAATACTTGCAATAATTGCTGTAAGAAAAACATTGGCTCTTCTTCTTCCTTTTCAGTTTTTCAGTATTTATATAAAATAGAGGGATCGCCCTAGGCCCATATTTCAATACTTACTACTATATTTTTCATTGTGTATTTTAAAATTATAATAAAAAGTTAGAAAAACCAGAACTAAATGCCTGAAACTGCCTAAAGTCTTGATCACCTCCTTTTTTTTAAGAAGGTTTGATGAGTGAGTTACGTTAAAAGACACTTTTTCACTTTTATCTCACTATTAGACACATTTCACTTTGTGGACACAATACATGAAAATCAAGGTGTGCTTTGTACTAATTTGCCCTTAACGTGTAAAGATGAGAAGTTGGTCTAGTTGGAATAGAAGAAACTTGGTTAGCTTTTTATTGTTATTTTAATGGGTCAAAAAGTTTGACTATTAATAAAAATTGATTGCATGGAATAATGTGATTGATTATGAGCCACATGATTTTAAAATACATTTATATTCAAGTTTTATTTTCTCTTTACCATCTCTTCTCCACTACAACTGTTATCTTCTCCTCTACTTTACGATCTCACTCATAGTTTCCCTGAATTCTGCTATCAACCTCCTCACAACCCTTATCCATACAAATCCATTTTGGTTTCATCCACGTCTCCTCAACACCATCTCCATTGTTCATGACCACTATCTTTGTTAGATCCACACAATCTCCTTGCAAACCACCAGCTATACAAATCAACTTCGATGTATTCTCTCCACGATACATTCATCCATGTAATACCCACATATATATATTCACGAGACACCATCCACGACATTATTATCCACGAGAAACCCATCCACAATAAATTTATCCATAAATCATTGTCCACAAATCACCAATCCATGAGTTTTAAAGATGGTGAAAAGTTTTCAGATATCTATGAATCAGTACCCATACTCTCTTACATGGTTTGTAAGATCACAAAGCCAACACATTGCATAATTGAGCTTCCACTTGATTGTACAAAATGTGGACAACTGAGAAGTAATAAAGAAAGAGTGATGAGCCTAAAAACATAGAATTAGATGCCACTGCGGCTGCTGTGGTCAGGAGATGTGTGGACACTGGATGTGTTGTGGTCACTGGAATTGTGGACAGTAGGTGTGTGGATGATAGGGTTGAGAACAGGGGAGATAGCGAATGAACCGGATAAGATCCGGCGAGGAGCATACGTTGAGACATTTGGTAGGAAATCCGTTAGTAGTGAATAAGCTTGGAGGAAGAGGGATGTCCGCTTGAGATGCACCTATATATAAAAATCGCAGAAGGATCTAAAAATAAAAATCTGAGAAGGAATTAAAAAAAAAAATCTAAGAGGGATCTAAAAAGACAAATCTTTTGCTATCTGGAAAACTATTTACGCCGAAGAAGATGATTGACAAACCTCCCACTTCGTTTTGCGGTGGCGTTTTGTCCTCCAATCTTCACTTTATTTTTATTTTTTTCAGTTTCATCATAATTCGCCGAAGGGATGAGTCTGAGCCGGTGAAGAAAGCAGTGATGGGTCGGGATTCTAAAGTGTTCTTCGACAAATGAAGAAGAAGGCGGAGAGGATTTTGTGAAATTATGATTAGAGAGAATTGGAAAAAGCTGATTTAAAAAGAGAATTGAAGAACAGGTGGGGAGAAGATTGCAGAATCAAACAAGCGGCAGGGTCTTTAGATTCTCTGGTCTTCTCCAACAATTAATAAAAAAAGGTATGGAGGCGTTCACGATTACGGTTACGAAATAGAAGAGTTCATGAAAAGAGAAAAGTAGATCTAAAATTCACAAGTGGAAAAGAAAAAGTAGGTGAAATTTTTGAAATTCATAAATTGAATTGTAGTTTAGAAATTATTATTTTATGAATAATATAGTTGGGTGAGAATGACTCGTTAATGGAGTTAGAGGAGAACTAGAATTAGAAGAAGAGAGTGTAGTTGAGGGGCAGGTAAGACATCGCACATAGAAAAAGTGTGCCTCCAGCCACAAGTGTCTCTATGTGTTATTCCAAAGACAAAATGTGTCTTAGAGAGTAAAAAATTCATGTTTGATCTACTTATGTGGTATTCATATGTGTATTAATTCTCTGTACACCAGTAAAAATCCAACATTCGTTGGATTGGACTAAGTCCGACCGAATGTGGATGTCGTAGACGCTATTAAGATTGACATCTTGAAGATACAGGGGCATTTGGCCACCGCGGTATGGTATGCTTTTTAGTTTAAAAAATGTTTTTTCTTAGATAAATATGTATTCTTATAGAAAAAGAGAAATCGAGTTTTGGGACTGCTATAAATGTGGGTCTAAAGAATTATAAATTTTTCATTAACACAATAATATATAAACCCTGAAATAGATATTTGCCTCAATTCATTTTGCTCTCTCTCTTTTGCTTTCTTCGAGTAGATTCGCTTTTGGTTACAACACTACCTAAACTAAATTCCTCAGATTATTCTTTTCAACTCAGGATTGATATTGCCTTAAGCATGGCCCAATACCAGTCTTAACATGGGGAAGAGCACACATAGTTTTCTAAAAATTGGCCATTTTTATAAGAAGGTTGACATCTATATTATAAAAATTGAAGTGCATTTTAGTACTGTTTGGAAATAAGGATAACAGAATAAATGAAAGTTGTTTGAAAATATAAATAGTAGATTAAGTATTTCATTTTATTTGTACATTTAGCCATTATATTTACAATAAATTAAATATTTTTCTTTTGTATTTTTTTTT